GGACCTCTGGAAGAACAGCCAGTGCTCTTAACCTCTGAGCCATCTCTCTAGCCCTCAAGGATTCTTCTTACCTCAGCCTCTCAAGTAGCTGGTACTGTACATGTGCATCTCTGTCCCTGTCATCTAAGGAACTTTAATGTATGGTCTTAAGATGAAGAGCACTCCCAGTAACTGGGAGAGAATGGGAATACAGATTTGATCGTTTACAGGCTCTAGGGTTTATGTGGCATACCTGGAGATTATTCATATAGAAATGAGGAAATGGGGCTGGAGAGTTGGCTCAGTGGCTAAGAGTACCAACTGCTTCCAAGGGACTCAAGGGACCCAGATTTGATTCCCACCACCACATGACAGCCAACAGTAGCATCTGTCAGAAGGGGATCTAATGCCCTCTTCTGGCCTCTAAGGGTATGAGGCATGCGTGTTGTACACAGATATACATTCACTCAAACACTCATGCATACAAAATAAAAATAAATCTTAAAAAAAATCAAGAAACTTATGGATGTGAGAAATAATGCAATAATGCCTTTGTTGAGTCTAAAGCATTATTTAAACAGATTTTCCATGGGCAATTTGTTTGTGTGGGACAAAGTCTCATTTATGTAGCTCTCTCTCTCTCTCTCACTAACTCTCTCTCTCACACAACACACATACACATACAAAGCAAAGTAAATCTTTTGAAAAACAAACAACCCCATGCAGACTGTGCACTGTGGAGGACATGTAGTATGCTAGAAGGGTATGCAGTATACACACAACGCACAGCTGAGGTATACAGTGTTGCAGTACGCTGAGGGGTATGCAGTATATGCAGCTTGCAGAACCCAGCTAGGTAGCTTGTGCTTGCTTGTTTGCATTCTCTCTCTCTCTCTCTCTCTCTCTCTCTCTCTCTTTCTTTTTGATAGAGATCTTTAATGTAACCTAAGCTAGTTATAAACTCAAACCTTTCTACTTTAGTCTCTTGAGCAGTGCCCTTAATTTTTTTATTGGTAAGGATTTATGGATGTAGTTTCTGACATTCCTAAGAGACGCAATCTCACAGCAAATGTTTTGTTTTTAATTAAGTTTTTACACTAGTGCTTTTTAAAATGTAGGGGCACATGTACTTCAGATTGGCCTTGAACTTACAATGTAGCTGAAATTGATTTTGAACTCTTGATCTTCCTGTCTCAGTCTTCCAAATTCTGGGGTTACAGGCGTGAACCACCATGCCTGACATTGCTACACTTCTTTTTTATTTATGTATTAAAAAATTGTGGTAGTGGTCCTGGAGACATGGCTCTGCAGTTAAGGACACCAGCTGTTCTTCTGGAAGACCTGGGTTCAATTCCTAGCACCCACCCACAACTGTCTGTAACTTTTTTTAAAATTAAATTTAAATTTTTCTTGTTTTTTTTTTTTTTTTTTTTTTTTTTTTTTTTTTTTTTTTTTTTTTTGGTTTTTTGAGACAGGGTTTCTCTGTGTAGCCTTAGTTGTACTGGAACTCAAGCTCTTCCTGCCTCTGCCTCCTGAGTGCTGGGATTAAAGGCATGTGCCATCATGCCTGCCTGTCTGTAACTTGAATTCCAGGGGATCTGAGCCCTCTTCTGGCCTCTGCAGGCTCTGCAAGCAGGTGGTATACAGACATGTAGGCAAAACACCCATTACATAAAATTAATAAAATAATAGTGCTGGAGAGTTGGCTCAGCAGTTAAGAGCACTTGTTGTTCTTGCAGAAGACCTGGGTTCCATTCCTAGCACCCACATGGTGGTTCACAACCATCTGTAATTCCAGTTCTGGGGGATCTGTCACCCTCCTCTGGCCTCAGCATATACCAAGCATGAATGTGGTACACAGACATAAGTGAGTGCAAAGCAAAACCCCCCCACACACACCCAAAATAAAATAATAAAATACACATATGCCACACATACACAACACACAAGACTGGTATACTCTGTGTGAGTCATGCCCTGTCCTTGTCCATCCATGACTGGGTGCTGCTTTTGGGATGTCAAGACATTTGCCTGAGAAACTATTGCACCCTGGAGAAAGCACACCTTGCATAAGGTATATGCTGTTCCATCTGCTCATCCCCTTCTCTTCTGTCTTCCTCACAGCCCCCCTGGTCACCGAGAGGAGCCCTACCTCACCGAGGCAGGGAGGGATGCCTTTGACAGGTTCTGCAGGCTCTGTCATGGAGAGCTACAGGCCCTCAGTGGGGGTCTACTACAGGCCCCCAAGCCTGTGCTGGTGGAGGAAAGCGAGCTGGTGAAAGACTCACTGAATGTCCTGCTGGGTGTGGTGTCCGCTACATTTTCTCTTTGTCAGGTGAGAAGGGCTCACAGCTGTCATGGGACCAATTTTGTATGGAATATCCTGTGCTCTCCCGGGCATGCTCAGCACGCTAAGGGGTAGGTTGAGGTCAGTGCCATGAGTGGCAGGGAAGGCCAGCGCGATGGAATGATTAAAGATAGCCACAAGTTAAACTGGTATATGAAACAGTGTTGGAATTCTTGCCTAGCTTGTGAGAGATCCTGGGTTCAGTCCCTAATACTGTAAGACAAAACAGGCATTCTGTTTGGATTTTAAAAGTGTTGACTTAGAGTCAGATGTGGTGGTGCATGCCCTTAATCTCAGCACTCGGGAGGCAGAGGCAGGTGGATCTCTGAGTTTAAAGCCAGCCTGGTCTACAGAGTGAGTTCCAAGACAGCTGGGGCTGTTTCATAGAGAGACTCTGTCTCAAACAAAAAAAGTGTTGACTTTTTTTTTTTTTTTAAGATTTATTTATTTATTATGTATATAGTATTCTGTCTATATGTACGCCTGCATGCCAAAAGAGGGTGCCAGATCTCATTACAGATGGTTGTGAGCCATCATGTGGTTGTTGGGAATTGAACTCAAGACCTTTGGAAGAGCAGTTAGTGCTCTTAACCACTGAGCCATCACTCCAGCCCAAGTGTTGACTTACTAAGAATGTCCTTTGTTGAACGAAAGATACTTTTTTTTCCCACTTGCATCCTGGGATGGAAGAACCCAAATTTGTTCTTTGCACGTGTTCAGTTGTACAACACCATTTGTTGAGAAGGTCGCCGTAGTTGAGGATGATGGCTTATTCCTGAAATCCCAGCATTTAGGAGGCAGGCAAGAGCAGGAGAATAACAACTTTGAGGTCAGCCTTGGCTACATAGTCAGACCTTGTCTCAAAAAGAAAAGAACAGAAAAGAACTGACCAGGACTATCCTGATACCTTCCTCCCCTTTAATTTTATTTGCTTGTTTATTGAGAGACAGTCTATCCAGACTGCTTTTAACTCGTGATCCTCTGCCTCTGCCTTCTGAACACTTGGCTTTCCTCTCCTCTGTGGAGTGATCATGTCACCCTTGTTAAAAATTCGAGGTGGATGTGGTGGCACACAGCTGTGATCCCATCACCTTGGGTGCAGAAAACTCTGTCTCAGACTAAAAGCAGGGCTGGAGAGATGGCAGAGTTGGTAAAGTGCTTTCCAGCCAGCACGGGAACCTGAGTTTTAATCCCCAGTGAAAACCCACATACAAATGCCAGCCGGGTGTGGTGGTGAATGTCTTAATCCCACACCTGGGGGGCTGAGGCAGGCTCATCTCTGAGAGTTTGAGGTCGGCCTGGGCTGCATAGTGAGTTTCAGGCCATACAGAGTTACACAGCGAGACTCTCAGAAAACCAGTGACAATGATGTAGAGGGGAGAGGCAAGATGGCTCAGCAGTTAGAGGCAGTTTACCAACCAGGGGTAGTTTGGCACACCTTTTGATCCCAGCAGTCAGGAGGCAGAGGCAGATCTCTGTGAGTTCAAGGCCAGGCTGATCAACATGGAAGTTTCAGGACAGCCAGGGCTAGACACACTCACACACACACACACACACACACACACACACACACACACACACACACCCCCAACTAAAA